GACCAAGATGTGTTTTTATTGTCCAATGTACCAGTGTTGTCTCCCAGGGCGTGTTTTGCATTGCCTAACCATTGGTATTTTTTATCAGTCTACTGCTTGAAGTCTTCTCTGGTCAATGACGCAACTCCAGCAGCTGGGACAGGCGACGTCTTGATGCTGCTAGTGACAGTGGGTACATCAGTATAATAGTGCGGCAAAGGGGCAACAGTCTTGGACCGTGCATCTCCAGATTCTCCAGCAACGAATATGCTCAGATTTACTCCTTCACCAGTGTGAGAAGGATGTTGTACGAGGGAGATAGCGGCACCTTGGAAGGAGTCTTTTGGTGTTGTTGCACTAGGATTGTGATCTACGTTGTCTACAGCGGCAATTGTGAAATCTTTGCCACGCACTTTTGGAGGTCAGACCACTTGTTCTCTGTAAAATTGTTGGCAGACATGGTTGCCCATCTCTGCTGAGAGCTGGAGCACTCTACCATAAGAGATACTCAGGCCAAGGTGTGGCAGTCTGTCGACCAATTCCTTCTTGTGTGTATGAGCATGCAACATCATCCTAATGTATGTTGGAAGTGGGGTCTCCTGTATAACATTGTGCCTGACACGGGTGGATGATGTGGTGCCACGTGTTCGCTTGTGTTTGACGCAGTTGAACTTCAGTATGTGGGTTTCGGTAATTGCTGCAGGGTTAGTGTCTGCCATCTGGACCTTGATGCTGGGTCTCTCTAGGATCATGTTGACTAAGGCAAGCAGCAACGGTTGCAACAGATTCTTCTAGGCATCCTCCAGGGAACCCTGGGAAGGGTTTGGCTTCTCCAAACATGTGACGGCGACAAGACAACGACGAAGGTAGATCGAGAAGCAGCTATGCAATGTAAAGCAGCCTTTTTGAAATCCAATATGGCGACCCGTTAGTACAAATAAGCAATTCAGATTGTCACCATTTGCTTTCTTGACCCCAAAAACATACATTTAGACACCAAAATGAAGTCATTAGCAGCATTAGACCCAGAGATAATAATAAATGTAGATTTCAAATGGCGGCCATTTTGAAATCCAATATGGCGGCCATTAAGACAGAAATCCGAGTGGCCCAATATCTGAAAATGATTATGATATGTTAATGTACATTTGTGCCAAGTTTGGTGCTTGTATCACAAAATGCACAATAGGTTTGCTAAGCGGCCCCACTAAAGGGGCTTGTGCTCTACACAAAACCAATCGCTCCAAGGTAAAATAACAATAAACATAATGTAAAGCCAAAGTTTTGCGTGGTATTTGTGGTTGTTCTGTTTTCTGTTTAGTTCGGAACTATCACTATAGGATATTATATATTTCAGAGAAAAAAATTCTCCAGTCATTGGATATGCAATGTATGTGCATTCTTCCAATATTAATGCTCCTCAATACACACGCGAAGACAATTTTACATTTCTTCGATTTCGCACAATTTGGCCAAGCTGAGTTTTTAAGCTCAATTTTAACAGACCATTTCTCGGCCGG